GACTACTGATCCTAATGCTGGTTTTAAAAAGATGACAAGTTATACACTGAACAAAGGATCATGTGGTTTTGGCTCTGTCCAATGGTCTTTCAAACGAAGAGTTAGTTTTGCTAAAGTTTGCTTAGAAGTTATGACTAAAGACTCTGATGTTAATGACAATAACTGGGCTATTGCTGAATCCAAGTTTATTTCTAAGGAACTCAAAGATAGTTACTACAATAAAGTTGCTAATGCTGCAAAAAAGGCAGGCAGTACCGTTGAAGCTTGGGCTGAGGCTTTCACAGATTACTATGAGAGACCTGCTGGATCCGATCGTAACATGTCTGCCGAAGGTAACGAGTGTAAAAAGCGCAGAGGTATTGCCAGATCAATCTACGATCACTTAAAAAGTCAGAATGCTTTCTGAGTTGAATCAATTGGTTGATCCTCCAATATTTAATTAATCATTCATATAGATTTATACCATTGAGTGGTTTATGATGAATTTTAGAATATATAATTCATTAATTGAAATAAATAATTAACAAACATTCATAAAACACAGATATAAAAGATAAAACGGAGTAGATTTAATGTTTTTGATATAAGTCTATTAATTTTTGATATCTCCTTGTTTAATTTTATTAAGACTTAAATCTTCTTTAGAACTCTATTCACTAGTTTTATAAATTAGAACTTCAAATCATTTAAATTGTAATTTTTATACGACAGTTCATAAAAATCCAGATAACAAAAGGTAAATTTACTGCATTGTTTTTCCACAAAGAGGTAATGAATAATAACTCAAACATACAATCAATAATTTTTGAAAATATAATGATTTTGGAGATGAGAAGTAAAAAAGGAAGAGTTTGTAGTAAAATTTTTATTTGTATTAATTAAACGAAAAATAATTAGAAAGTAAAAATAATTTGCATCTGATTTTGTCTATGTAAAAAGGAAGCCAAAAAATTAGCAGAAAATTTATTTATTGATTATTTGCATTTCAGAATATTCAAAATTAAAAATATTAAATTAAAATGGTCACGAAATTATGCATTTTATTCGTATTCATCATTATATTATTATATTGATTTGTGATGTTGTTCATTATTTCATAATTGTTGTCTAAATGTAATGAATGTATTCATTGTTTGTTTAAAACTTGGTGTTTATGTTTGATAGATCATTGAAATGAATTATCATGTTGCAAAATACTTCTTGTTAAATGTTTAAAAGGTAAAAAATAGTAGAAAATATTATTAGATGAAAATATTTGTGATTAAATATGAGAAGAAGATATTTGTAAATTATTAGTTATATATTTCTACTTCGATTTCTGTATTAAATGAATATATCTGTTGATGAAATTGAAATAAAATAAATATAAAAAGAAAATGATAAAGAAAGAATAAAGAAATAATAAGAAATAATATAATGATTAATGATAAATTAATGAGTATTATCATGAATGAAGTTGAAGATGAACATAAATTCATATATAATTATAAATGTTAATTAAAAACA